TTTTTTTTTTCTTAGTTGCTTTTTTCAGTGTTTCCTAATTTTTTAACTCTATTTTAATCATGTATTTTTGTGTGTGAGTGTGACACTGCATGCCTTTGGAGGCCAGAGAACAATATGGGAGTCATCCAGTCTTTCCTCCCAGCATACTGGTCTGGGAGATCAAACTTAGGCCCCTAGGCCTGGCGGCAAATACCTGCCGAGCCATCTCGAGTGTCTTTGTAATGTTTTAAAATACCAACACTAAATGTGTCAGTACTAGCTGCCCTGTAATCACTGTGAAAGGGCTGTTCTTACTATGGAAAGCCTGTGTGCCCTTGGAAAGGTGCTTAGATCATCCAAGGAAGCAGTCTGGCTTTGATGGAACATTACAGAAAGAAAACAAAGATCGCCTTTGCTTTGAGATGGGTGGTGAGGTCTGCTGAAATTTGGTGCTGGGTCCTTATCTGTCTCGTGTGTCTATCAGTATGAGAGTGGTACAATTTGTGACAAGATAACGCCCCACAATCAGCTTACAGCCCATGAGGCAGACTTTGCGGGATGGCCTATCTCAGTGAGTTGGGTTGTTTCGGTTTTAGAATTACACACTGACTTCCTTCCCAGTCTGAAGAAACAGTCCACGCTGCATTCCTACCTGCGGTGCGCACAACTTGTTTTCCTCCCAGAAGCAGGCTGCATTCCACGGACAGGCTGGCTTTTTAGCATAAGCAGAACTGACAAGCTGACGTTGCTACAGTTGCCTTTATTGTTAGCCAAGATTTTTTAAAGCAATATCTTCTTCCTCATTTTTGCAACTAACATTTCTGTTTATAATTGCTTTAAAAACCTCTAAAAGTACATTTTGCTTTTGAAACAAGGTAGTTGACATTGTATTAGTCTCGTTACCTGATAAAACAGATTATATCAAAGCACAGAAACGTAGAACAAGCCTCCCACAGTTTCCAATGTTCTGGAATCCTGGAGCTACATATTTGGGTATTTCTTATTCATAGTCTTTCATGATGTGGAAATCAAGCTTCTGGCTTTCTGAGGTTTTGGCTGGGGCTGGAGGGTTCATTCCCGGCAGGACTCACATGGCTGTTGGCTGGCCCTGTGGTTCTTTGTTATATGGGTCTTTCTATGGGGCTGATAGCTTTCAAGACAGAGTTCCTGGAGGGATGGGGAGACGGGGGAGGACCTTGTGTACTCAGGGAAGGAATGAGGTCTGGAAGCCAGCTTTCTAGGGCAGGAGATAGAGAGTCACTGAAGTCACTGTAGAGACTGAGTGTCGCACTTACTGAGGTGTAATGAACAGGTACTGTAGAGTTATGTAAGACTAGGGCTAGCTTGGGGAGAGAGATCATAACATGAGATTTGAAAAAAGCCTCTTAGGGAATATTATTGTCAAATGTATTCAAAAGTTTAAAAAAGAATTTTTTTGTAGGGCAAATGCCAAGGTGACATTCGATACCCTGGTCAAGTAGGTGGTTTTCCTAGGGTGAGGCTCACCCATGGCACTCAGGGTGTGCTGACCCCTGTGGCTTCCCCAAATGGGGCAAACTTGACAGAAGTTTATGGGAGGGAGGGACTGTGTTCATGCCTTACTCTAGAAAGATACTTCAGGGTGAACAGTGAGTTTTTCTGTCACAGCACACTCATTAGCTTACAATTCTTGTTTCTTTGTGTAAACAGTAATTGTGTGCTTTTAAAGTTTTTTACTGTTATGTACTCCATATTACTCATATAATTCTAACCTGTGTGTCTTCACCCCTCTCCTTTTGTGACTGCTTATTTACAGTAGGCCACACCCCTCTGTTTGGAGCCTTGGCAAGTAGCCTAAAGGACCTTTGACAAAATGAAAGTTTGGCAGCTCTTGGGCTTGGACTTCTAGAGTCCTTACACATGACCAAATTTTGTCCTGGAGATTGCTCTGCTAGGGGTCTTGCACCTTTAAAAACCCTCTCCCTATTCTCCACAGCCTGTTCCTCGGGGTTGTATGAGAAGCAAGCAGTTGTGCCCACATCCTAGCCTCTGGGATGCAGTGAGATGAGCTCAGCTTTTGCTCAAACAGAATAGCATTTCCCGTGTCAATTGAGACACATGACAAATAAAGACATTGCAATGCTGTAGTTAAGATAATAAAAGAGGAATATAGTTGGGATGGCCCCAGCTGGCCTCAGCAGGAGGGCAGGAGCCACTAGCCCCAGGGCCCAAGAAGTGTTTCCTCTCAGGGGTCTGGGCCCAGCTGGTACAGGCAGATGCAGGTTTCCTCAGTAATGTGACTGCGGCATTTCAGAATGGTGATAACATTTAGGTAATAAGTTAGAGCTTGTAGAGAAAATATTCCGAGAAGGGTAATATAGTGGGATATTACCAATACAGAGCCAGGTAGAAATATAAGGGTATTTAATAGGGAAAA